AGCTGTCCGCCCCCCTCCCCCACCCATCCAGTTGCCGCGGCTACTCCGAGCACCTCTCGATTAGCCACGCCCCGCCGCTGACACTTTGATATTGACTCTAATCACTAAGCCCCCTCTCCTTTTCGAGGTGGTGTTTCAGGTCTATCCTGATGCCACATAAATTGCCTCCTCAAATCATATATATGCACAGCAACACCCCCTCTCCCACTAAAACACACACGTTTTCCAAGAGTAGTTTCGACCTGCGTGGTGTCATTGAATTCGCGTTGTTCCCTTGGATAGAGTCAGGTGATTTGACCGAGTCCCTTCGCAGTTGAATCCATTGTTGTATCCATTGTTGAGATTTGCACCCTTCACTATTTTTTGGTTTATAGTATCATACTACCTTGATAATTATTAGCGCTGGGTTTGACGTACGTGTGACTTCTGGATACAGAGTCAGAGGAGTCAAGGAAGGCGAGACACGTATAAATAATGCGGTACCAAGAAAGCGGAGGTATACCAAAGTGGCCCTTTCTGACTAATTAGCTGCCAAATGACGCGTTTGCTCGATCCTAACAGTAAATTATCTGTGATTTGAACCCAGAACCACTGTTCATCAAGCCACGGGCCCACTGTCCTAACAGTGACAGCCATAATTTATGCACATGCAAAAATATACAACAACACACAATGCACGCACTTTCTGGTTGTTTGAAAATCCGAAACTCCCACCGACATCCATACAGCTTGCAATCAATGGTATAATTTTGTTTTGATAAATTGTCGGTCGGAAGTTGCAGATGGCGTTTGGTGAATCTGGTACCCGGGACGGAACTTGTGCATTGAATGCCCTCAAAGAATGTGTTATAGACGTCCTCATTGTCAAAGGTGTCCCTCAGCTGGGCTGATGTGAAGGAGCAGAGAGGAATGGGCTTAGTTGCCGAGGCTGGAGTGATGTATATATCTGTCTGACTGCAATTCAACTGTTCTACAGGATACAGCTGTATCGTATGTCTGACTGGCTCAGCCTCTACGTCTTTCTCCTGTGCAACTAGGTGGACCTCATTGCGGCAGTAGAGTCCACGCAGAGACACCGGTTCCTTCGTTAGATTGCCACGCAGAAGGTGATTGTTCGTGTCCAATATGCTTGTGTTGAAGGGCCCTGCCCAGCATTTGGGTCCGCGACAAATTTGAAGAGAAACGGCATCAAATACCAGATCGTTTCCTATTTTTATTGGAATCAGTTTCAATTCTACAGGGAAGTATGAAATACGTAAAGGCATGAATACATGCAGAGAAAACATGCTGCAGATGCTAAAACACGCGCCAGAATGTCTCTTTTAGATAAAAGCAGTCCAAGAGCGATGTTACATTGATATCCCCGTGATAAATTCCATTTGACGAAGTTCCACGTTACGCGCTATATAAGTACGTTGTGGACTTCTTTCTAGATCCTTTACGTGCCATTATTTAAACATCCAGAAATTACAGACATCATGCGTTCTAGGGAAGGTAACCTTTGAAAATATGCAATTTATTGCTAATTCGCTGTGTGAGACCGTTTAACATGAATTATGCGGCAGATAAGAATTTGAACCAGAGAAAAGCGAATGTATGAACAAATTATAAGGCAATCCATCATAAGACTGCAACTAATGCACGCAGAGTAAGGAGGCAGTATCTAATTCAAGTATTATGTCAGGACAGGCTCAAACCAGGGCGGAGAATGGTAAGGACGCGCTGAATAGTATGCTGCAATGCCACTGTCCCACTCTTTCTCTGTACCTCACTCTGCCTATAGAGATTCAAGTCAGCTTTCCCGGAGTCTCAATCACTGGGATATCTTATGCGAATAAAAATGTTAGTAATGTGCCTTAAAATAATTGGATTAGTAGTCGAGCGTCAGAAGAACATAGATAGCTGGTACGTACTGTCGCGATCCACGTTAACCTGGAACATCCATCGGCAGTCATGAAGGAAGCACCGAATTTCAAACACACTCGGTATCTCCATCTGTTCGGGCAAGTGCATAGTGAGCCCGGTGAAACGGACTCCCGGTTTGTTACTGTTGCAGGTCAGATTCGCGAAAGCCCTCGTCCGTGCGGTGGCATTTGCAAGCACTGCTTTCGTGTACGATGATTCGGATTCGCACAAATCTAGTAGTCTGAAGGGTTTTGGGGGAACGTAGCGTGGCGCCTCACTGCACTCAAAGGTTTCCACCGGGTTCAGGCCTATTTTCATCTGTACAGGCAGCAAGTGCTTGGGGTCCGTGCTGGTGCTGATCAGAACGATAGATCGACACTGGAGGTCGGTCAGATTTATCTTGTTTGAGAGGCCATCTCGTAGTACTGTGGTGCCCTGCCTATCAAGTATTTTCGTTTTCAGGTCTGTTGAATAGCAAATGGGACCAGCACAAACCTTGAGCGATGGAAGGGTTGTCTGCGGATCGTACGTGCTCGCATTCGGCTGCATCACAATGTCTAAAATAAGTCGGGGGGAATTGTGAATGAGATTAAAGATCCTTAAAATTTAACAACAGCTATGTTGAGATAGTCAGACAGGAAATGAATTATGTGTATCTGCGAACTCCTAAGTATGCAGGAGCGTTCAGTTGGTGGCATAATAAAATAAGCAATATATGTATTTTCTTCCTTTTTCCACTTAAGATGGTGATTCGATTGCCGATGTTATAACCAAATTTATCTCTACTGCTACTCATTCTCTTAGGAAATGGTTTATACCTAGGGAAACACTTTTTGATAACTTATTGTTCGTCTCTATGAGGGAAGTGATATCAACTCAAAGGGACACTACTCATAAGTGCCATGATCCCGTGCCTTGGATTATTCGCAATAAAAGTCCACTGCGTAACGTGATTCACATAAGGGAAAATACCAAATCTTGCTGTTATTGCTATCTTTAAATTTGCACCTGGGAAACGTTGCTTTATAAGTCCACTGGTCGTTGTCCTTTGTCTTATCTCAGAAGACTTGAGATGGAAGGATAATATGAGTCTATTTTCCGTCTTGAAATATGGCTGCGGTGAGTATGCGGCTGCCTTGTCGACATTAATACCCGCGAAGGGTTCCTCAAATCAAGAATTAGGCAAGACAGAATTGGGAGGAACAGTTGTTCAGTGAAAAAATTACTGTTCACGGATTGTGTCACCAGCCAGGTCTGAACACCGAAAGTGCCTAAGAAGGTTCGTGGGTGAGTGAAGCTTTGGCTGCTGGAAGAGTGCTAATTTGGCTGCACCAATCAGATGAGGGGGAAATATTGATTGACATCAAGCGTATGCGCTGTTGAAGCAGCAAGTCAATCGATGCCATTTGAAAAGTCGACGCGAGTTAATTAATTAAGTTGCAAAATGCGAGTTATGTCAGCCGAGGACAGGATGACTCACGTGCCGTCCGGTTAGGCGACAAACTCCTACAGTCCCACTGGATGGCGCCATATGACTACGGGGTTGATTTAAGACAGTTATAACGTTTAAATGAAGACGAGGTTCACAGTTTTGGAAAGACCACTGTACACATAAACAATATTTATCGGCGGACTAATTTTACAACTGGCTCCTACACAATAGTGACTACGCATTTGATAATTGTATCTGCTAAGTTTGACAAGTTTGCCTTTCGCCCAAGAACAGATAGCACATGTGCGAAAACATTATCCTCATAACAAACTGACTTATGATAAAATTTAAGAGTTCAATCAGTTTTTTAGTCAGAGATCAAATAATATCCGGCCAAATTCCAAGTTTAAAGAAAAGACAGATGCTAACTCCTGGACATACTGTGGTTCCGTTCGCCTTCGGTCGCCCATCATCACACTCCCTCGTCACCGAGGGCTATTGAGAAGCTTTGAACGCCAATCATCTACTATCATACTCGATTTTTAATATACTTCTATATGTCCGGTCAGACTTACAGCTTGGAAGGGCGTTCATTTGAAGACCATCCGAGGAACAACCGCCCGGAACGGAGAACGGCGCTAGTCGCTCGAGAACACACGCGCTACAAGATGGACATCGTTGCTCGCAGCGAGACGTGACTCTTTGAGTTGCGGGATGTGGTGGACCCACTTTTTCCACAATCATCAGCCTCTACGTGCTTCATCCCATCAATGAGGTCTGATTAGGCGACGAACAAATTATATGAGGACCTGCATGCCATTTTGGAGAATTTGCCTAAGGCTGACAAGGTGATTGTCCTTTGCTTCTTAAACGCCCACATCGGGACAGACCAGGTTGTCTGGGAAGGAGTGCCGAGTCATTGCAGCGGCAACAACAACATCTTCCGTCAGTTGCTAATCTATGACCTTCTCCAGATGCGGATGAGCAGGACTCGCTGGTGTGCAAAGCGATCGACGACGATGGCTGAACAAAGCACCGTCTAGTCACCTTCGAAATGAGTCTCCAAAGTCATCGCAGCTGCTGACCCCAAGGACAGCGATCGCAAAGCAAATTAAATAGCCTTCTTTAACTCTGCTTGCTCAAAATTCTGATTATAACAACCAAGATCGTGTTAACTGTGGAACGTCATCCTATCCACGGTCCGCGTTGGAAGTACGTAAAGTGGTTTGATTACAGTGACAGTGATGTCTACAGCAGCTTAATACTTAGCAGGCATAACCGACTAAACGGGGTCTACATGGACCACTAGATGGAGCCCAACAAAACGCACTCCTTCAGATGCCGTCGCCTTGTACAGCAGTGACTATGGGAGGAGAAGAAAGCCTTAATGGAGCACTAGGCTGAAGAAATCCAGGGGTAAGCAGACCACAACGAAATGAAAAAGTCCTCAAGTCATCTTATAAGCTTGCATCAAGGGATTCGCGGCGCTGCTCAGCTCCGATGGCGTAATACTTCTGACGAAGAAATCACGAAATATGAAGCACTGTGGGGCTGCATTTCAGAAATGTCCTCGACCGATCATCAGACAGTGCCGATGTCGCCCCTCTGTTTCCGCCAAGTTGACGCGAAAAATGATCTTGTTCACCTCCCTTCCCTGCCAGAAACCATCTGAGCTGTACGACAAAGGTCCGATAAGAAATCACCGTGATCCGATGAAACCCCGGTGGTTCGATGCTAATAGCGAAACCTGGCACAAAGGACAGGTTCATCGGGTCTTCAAGGACGCAATCATCATCCATGTCTGCACGTGGTAAAGAAAATATCAAACCTGTGACAACTACAGAGGCATCTCGCTGCTCAGTATCACCAGGAGGATCTGCGGTCACGTTCTTTATAATTGTCTTAGCAGACATTTAGACCGAGGGCTGTTTCTCTTTAAATATAAGGGGGCTGTACGAAAGTACGACGAATTATTCCAAGTTGCAAATCACATCTTTTTAGCAGGCCATGAGTTCCACTTCGCATACATGAGGATACTCACACAGACTCACATTGAGACGTCCGTCGCTGACATTTATTTGGCGGATGTCCCCTATAATTGCCTCCCTTTTCGTTGATATTTCTTGCCGTTGACAACCAAACGACCCGTGATGTCACTGAAAGTTAATTTGTGCACATCCCCTATAATTGCCCCTATTTTCGTTTTATATTTCTTACTTCTGACAACCTAATGAGCAAACCAGTGGCAGCTGCCCAAGTGCCAGCTGAACACGCCATCCTTCCGCCAATGCAGCACGGGCCTCTGTACACGACACCTCTTTCCGGTAGTATTTCACACAAATCGGACACCACATGAACTGGCCCCAAGTCAGAAAAAAGCAGCGGCCACCCCCTTGCACTCACAAAGGCTCTCCCAGGTTTGACTTCGCCCTGCCCACGTGTGCCGTTATTGGACACGCGTTGTTCCTTTGTCTACAGTCAGGCGATATTTGACCGACTCCTTTGTTATTCACTGCCTGCATCCACTGTTGAGGTTTGCACATTGTTTCATCTTCACTATTCGTTTAAGAGTACCACACTATACCATTTTTTATCATTGGTAATTGGTGTATTAAGCCAACGGATACAAGATACACTGCACAGGGACAATGACATCTTCGCCGCCACATGCGTCAACTCCGGATTAAAAATAAACACGGACAAAACGGTGATAATGCATCAACGGTCGCCCAACATTGCTTATGACGCCCTCTGCATTAGTGTGGGTAACTCCGCTTATCATGGACGCATACCATCGCATAGCAGGATAATCGACGACGAGGTTACGCAGTGGACCTTCAATGCCAGTCGGGACTTCCGTTTGCTGCAAGCCGCCCTTTGGAATTGCTACATGGTCGCCAGTTGATGAGACTCCAGTAAAAAACGGAAGCCGAGACCGTCTACACCCACTATGCAAGGAAAGTGGGTCGCTTCCGTCTCTGATGCCTATATAGAATATATAAGCTTAGGTGGCGGGGCAGGATCCAGACAAAAATTCCCTCATTCAAACTACCACTGCCAACACCTCCGACGACTGTCCAACTGCTATCCACAACGTCCCTTCTACTAGCAGTGGAGTTCGATCCCAGGCTGTCCTCAGTGCGATCGCGCACTCACCTCATACCGACTCTACTACCCTCGCGCATTCACTCACTGCACAGGTCAACTATATCATTCCAGGAAATTGGAATCCACCGCCATGCCCACACACTAAACACATTTTTCGCACCTTACAAAATTCCTATCGCCAGCAATCCTATGAGAGCGAACACCAATGCCATTAGCACATCCCCTGTCGACTCGGCACCTCCAAACCTGTCCTGCTATCGCTGTCACTGTACTTACACATCAGGCCTCAGCCTTTTTTTGTCACTTGTGAATCCATTGCACAGAGACCGACGAACTAGTTTCAAGCACACTTACATCTATCCGCTGCACCCGGATCAACTGTCCACAATGACCAAGCACATTCACACACGGAAGGGTCCTATTGAATCACATGGGCCTCCATGAAAAACTGCAATCGAAAACCGCCGGCCATATAACATCCAATATTTTACCTTAAAAGGACGCATGCCACATACAGTCGCGCTCAATATTACATACCACCTTAAAGAACCCGTTGGGCCTTAAATACACATTTTTTTTATTCATCCAGCATCAATCACGTGCGAGGAAAGTATGATCATCGGCTCCTTTTCCATGTGGCTCCTCTACTGTATGTGTGATGCCAACCCAAGATAATCACGGTTCGTTAATGCCCGCGGCTCGAAAGGTTGCCAACTTGCAGGGTAATTCGGTCGGCCCAGTGTATTCTTGCGCGGAATAATTGACAAGGGCACACACAGCTTCACTTCTGACTTAAAATACAGTTACTATGATCAAATTCACGTGCAAGTGAGCACGTTCGCATGCCATTCGTGAGTATCTCCTTCAACCTTCTTTTTCCTTGACATGGAGGAGTCCGAGTGAGCACTGATGTCACCTGAAGAACTTTCGACGCGAATTAAACATGCAAATGTTGAGCCAGACGAGGCGATTTTGTCATTTGCCACGGCCTTCCAGTGCACTCTTTAACATCCGGTCTGGTTAGTTAGACTATATCCGGTCTTCTACGATGTGCAAATGGTGGAACTGAATAACTGCTTAAGCGATCGCAAAGAGCTGATCTCATAGAACTCTAGCTCCAGACTTCCTTCCCATACACTGTCCGTTTACGTGCAGAAGAAGGGGACTGCGATGGACCCGCCGTTGTCTGGAATAGTTGCGAAACGAGTGACTGGTCTTCAGTTCTTAAGCCCTTAAGTTCTCAGCCAGGCGTTTTAACTACACATGGTATAATAATTAAGAGAACCAGCATGCAGACGTTTAAGGTAAAATTACATTTCACTTTCCCGGATATAAGTTAACCACGAAATTGCAAGTTAGAAATCTGGCAAAGAGGGACAATGCGAACTCTCCACTTCGGAAGTAAGCACAGCGTCAGTCACAAAGGCAGTGGCATCAAAGACCTTTCTCATACACGATTGAACGCGATGATGATAGGAAGAAGAGACAGATAAGGTACTTACGTGCCCCGTATGAGTCTCATAGTTATCTGAATAACTTCACAAACCCCTATCAGGTGACATTTCCAAAGGCGCCAGCAAGAATGGCTGCAAGAAAGGACTTGAAAAGTCAATTTGCTAGGCAAACTATACTTTTCGGCAACTCTTCTTC